TTTAAATGAAAAATGTACTCTGTGTGATTGGCTTTCGGCCCTTTGTATTAAACGATGCATACATACATGATGCTGTTTTGTTTATAGTTGTTTAAGCAACTTAATTTTAATTGGTTTATAAACATTATGCACTTTTTTTTCACAGATAGTCATTTTATCGTATGCTTTGAATAAACGTGCATTAGTAATATTTTGCTCGATGCGCTCTCTTGTGGCCTCAGGAGAGAAGCCAAAAGCTTTTCTTCACCCTAACTGAAATTATGCATTTTAAATTAGAATATAATTCGAATTTTGATAATATTTAAGTACAAAATTCGAATGTAGTTTTTCAGCCATTTTGACAGCCCTACAGTCATGCCAATAAAGAAGTTCTGAATTTGAATTATAATATTACATAACAATATAATTGTATTATATCATATTAATTTTAATTATAGAATTTTCTTTTTTGACCAATTGCATAGAGGAAATTATTCCAGAAACATAATTATTTTTGCGATTCTGTTTGGTTACGTTAGTGGCACAGAAATGTCACTTCGCCTTTAAGAATTAAAAATCTGAAAGAAAAAAAAGCAAGCTATGCGTGAGGAAACAGCTCTAACTTCCTTCTAAGCAGCTGTGAAAAATAAAACATGATCTTTCAGAGGCCTCCTAACGCCTGCAAGCGGTTACTTAAGGGGAAGCGTTTTCAGACTCGTGTGTAAGGCTGCATGATTTTGCAACTGAACTGAACTTTCTTTTGTTTAAAATTGTGATTTAATGCTCCAGATTGTAGAGCTGCACAATTTGGTCAACATTTTGTGCTTATATCAATAACGACTATAAAATAATAATAATATTAATAATTTAAATAAATGTAATAATTTTAAATAATAATCATATATTATTATTATAATTATTATTACTAAATACAAATATTAAACAAAATAAGAAATTATTGTTGTAATATTTCACTGTGAAATAATAATAAGAAAAATAATATAATTACTTTAGATTACAGTAAATAGGTTAAATTACAATACTACTATTTATGGCAGTCTTAATTTCTTCATTTTCCACCATTAAACAATCAAGCTTTTGTTTTGGCGGAAAGCCGCAGGGTTATGAGTTTCTTTCTTCTGTGAAACATGAAAGAAGGTATTTTGAAGAATGTTGGTAATCAAATAGTGTCGGTTCCCGCTGACTCACATTGTATTTTTTGTCCATACAATGGAAGTCAATGGAACCAAAACTGTTTATTTGCCAATAATCTTCAAAATATCTTTGTTTGTGTTCAGCAGAAGAATGCAACCTTTGAGATTTTATAATTCCACTAAGCCATATCATGATTTGGTATTTTGATTAACTGTGCAGCCCTGCTCATGTGGAAGTTTAGTAGGGAACAGGCTTCTTTCAGCAGGCCTATAAGCATGACCTGAAACGTGTGACTTGAACTGTAAATATGCAATTGGTAGGAGTTTTATATCTACAAACTTTCAAGCACGCAAAACCCACACACCTCCAGCTCGACCAGGTCGAACACTGTGTCTGGGATCCCGCTCAGCATGAAGAGGTGCAGCTCCAGCTTCTCCTGCGAGTTTTTGGTTATCCTCTGTCTGAGTTTCTCCAGAGTCCATTCGTTATTCAGGTTCAGCTGTCGCAGTTTGTTCTCGCTGACCTCCGACAGGAAGACGGCGAAGCGCTTTGAGTACAGCGGGTCGTACTGATCGATCATGTGCAGCATGAAGGCAAAGTCGTTCTTGACGTCGGGGATGTCGCTGTAGCTGCTCTCCTCACGGATGGACTCGAAGGAGTAGCGCTTTAGCGAGCGGCTGATGATCCAGTACAGCGTGTACATGCAGATGAGGCCGTAAACCACCACCAGGCTGATGTAGAAGCAGGCCAGGATCTTAAAGAGCGTGGCCAGAGGATGGGCGCAGTGGTACGTGCGATAACCGGTCAGCCGCTCGATGTCCACGGTGCACGGCACGCTGAACTTGATGTGGTGGACATAGTACATGGTGTAGCAGATGATGATGAGGAACTGGATGACTTTGATGATGATTTGACGGATGTAAAGACGGTGAACGATGTCGCCCTCCTCCACGTGGATACGGAACTTCTTCACCTGCAAAAGAGAAAGATGAGACGATATATTCAGAATACTTGGGCTCTGTTCCAAAATCTAGTGAACTACTTCGCAGTCCACTATCTACATAGACGGCGTCCTTCAAAGGCACCCTAACTGAAATGGAACTGCATAAATGATGTTAACAATGTGACACAAATAAAATAAAAAAAGTAAAAAATGTATTTATATTTATCAATACTTATCTATAACTATACTTTATTTATTAGTATATGAAGTAAGCACAAATATCTAAATATATTTAATAAATATACATTAATATATAAATATTTATTTATTTGATAATATTTAGCTATACTTTTCAGCATTGCAAGAAATTACTATATTTTATTTATTAGTATATGAAGAAAGTGTAAATGTATAAATTAAATATATTGTTTTTGGTTATCCTCTGTCTGAGTTTCTCCAGAGTCCATTCGTTATTCAGGTTCAGCTGTCGCAGTTTGTTCTCGCTGACCTCCGACAGGAAGACGGCGAAGCGCTTTGAGTACAGCGGGTCGTACTGATCGATCATGTGCAGCATGAAGGCAAAGTCGTTCTTGACGTCGGGGATGTCGCTGTAGCTGCTCTCCTCACGGATGGACTCGAAGGAGTAGCGCTTTAGCGAGCGGCTGATGATCCAGTACAGCGTGTACATGCAGATGAGGCCGTAAACCACCACCAGGCTGATGTAGAAGCAGGCCAGGATCTTAAAGAGCGTGGCCAGAGGATGGGCGCAGGGGATATTTGTATTAAATATATATTAATATATACAGTATGTAATAATATTTTTGGCATTGCCTGAAATAATTACATTTTATATATTAGGATATGGAGTATAAAAGTATAAATTATAAATATATTTATTAAATATATATTGATATTTACATAAGGATGTTTAGCAGTACTTTTCAGCACTGGCTAAAATAACTAGCACGGCACGCTGAACTTGATGTGGTGGACATAGTACATGGTGTAGCAGATGATGATGAGGAACTGGATGACTTTGATGATGATTTGACGGATGTAAAGACGGTGAACGATGTCGCCCTCCTCCACGTGGATACGGAACTTCTTCACCTGAAAAGAGAGAAGGATGAGATGAGACCATATATTCAGAATATTTGGGCTCCGTTCCAAAACCTAGCGGACTACCTACATTATAAATATGTTTATTAAATATATATTAATATTTAAATATTTATGAAACAATATTTATCAATATTTCAGTATTGGATGAAACAGTCAATTGCACATAGTTATTATTATTTTATTGATTGTCTATTCTCTTTATTATTAGTGTTATATTTCATTTGATTATATGCATGTCTGTACTTTTTCTTTGCACTGGAAGCTCCTGTCACCAAGACAAATTCCTTGTGTGTGTAAACACACTTGGCAATAAAGCCCTTTCTGATGCTGAAAAAATAGGTATATTTGATTTATTAGTATATGACGTATATATTCACAAATTGTATATACATTCATATTTAAGCATATTTAATCACAATGCAAATCTGTGATTGCACTCTACACTAATGCTGCCTTTGAATTTAGCCAAAAGAAGGTATTTTGGAGGAATAAACTTAAAAATAGTGTGCCTATGATGCCTTGAAACGCTCAGCACAGAGGCATCTCATTAGGATTTTAGAACACAGTGCTGTTCGCTAGACGTCCCGCTTGTGACTTGAGACCAGCTCTTAAATAAATCATACGCACACACCTTCTCAAACAGCGCTTTGGCCTGCTCTCCTTCCTTCTTTTCCAAGACGCCCGTCTCCGAACGGTCCACGATGCCCTGCTCGATGCGGGATGGAGATGTAGTCTGTGAACACGTCCCACCATGGTTTCAGGATCCGATACGCTGGCTGTGTATCAGCAAAGTATCGCAACTCAGTGATGGGAATCATGACAGTTTACCTGAGAAACAAAGAACGTGAGTGAAAAATGACAAACCAGTAGTGACAATAAAATAATAATTCATCAAATGTGACCCTGGACCACAAAACCAGTCATAAGGGTCAATTTTTTTTTTTTATTGAGATTTATACATCAGCTGAAAGCTTATATAATGAATAAGCTTTCCATTGATGTATGGTTTGTTATAATAGGACAATATTTGGCTGAGATACAACTATTTGAAAATCTGGAATCTGAGGGTGCAAAAAAATCGAAATATTGAGAAAATCGCCTTTAAAGTTGTCCAAATTAAGTTTTTAGCAATGCATATTACTAATCAAAAATTAAGTTTTGATATATTTACGGTAGGACATTTACAAAATATCTTTATGGAACATGATCTTTACTTAATATCCTAATGATTTTTGGCATAAAAGAAAATTCAATAATTTTGACCCATACAATGTATTTTTTGCTATTGCTACAAATATACCCCAGCGACTTAAGACTGCTTTTGTGCTCCAGGGCCACAAATGTCCACGTCATTTCTACCTAAAAAAATAAAATAAAATAAAAATAAATTTTTAGCATAAGGTAATTTCCAAGCCTTTCATATCATTCTCAACCTTTTACAAATGGTAATTTCTATCTAGAAAAATAAATTAATTAAAAAACCAAAACATTTTGCATAAGCAGGGTCATTTCTATGTCATTTCACATCATTCTCAACATTTTGTAAAAGGTCTACCAAAAATAAAATAACATAAAAATTTTGCATGATGTAATTTCTAAGCCTTCATATGATTCTCAATCTTTTGCGAAAGGTAATTTAATTTCTACCTAAAAATAAAGTTTAAGTAAATAAATAAAATATATATATTTTGCATATGGTCATTTAATTCTAAGTGTTAGTATGATTCTCAAGGTAATTTCTAAAATAAAATAAATAAATACATAAATAAATAAATAGAAATCTAGGTATTTTTAAGCCTTTCATATCATTCTCAATCTTTTGCAATTAATAAATAATAATAAATTAATAAATGATAAATTATATAAATGATTAATAATATAATATAATATAAATAAATAATAAAATAATTAATTTCTAAGCCTTTCATATCATTATCAAACATTTTGCAAAAGGTAATTTCTACCTTAAAAGGAATAAATAAATAAATAAATATATGAATTATTAATATAATAATTTTATTTCCTAGACTTTTATATCATTCTCAACCTTTTGCAAAAGGTTATTTTTACAAACAAGCAAACAGGGTCATTTCTTGTTCAAAAGGTAATTTCTACCTGTGAATAAAATACAATAAAATAAATAATAAAACTAAATCAAAATATTTAGCAGAAAGACAATGAAACCATTTTTGCATTGTGAGTGTGACAAACTTTCTATCCTGAAAGACAAAAATTTTTTTCCCCTTGGATTAACATTCACTGTTAAATTGTTCTCAGAAAGACCAGCAATGTTAAAACAGTAAACAGAAGAAACAGACTTTGATTTCATGTTAAAACATCTGCTGAAATCTTCCTAAACTGTGTGAAAAAATACATGCCGTCTAATGACCTTTAACCCTGTTCTGTTCTGTCTGCCGCCCCTTTCACTTCACTTTATGGAGTCTCCTGTCTTTCTCTTACAGTAGCCTTGAGTCAGAGCTCAGATGATGGACACAGGAAGTGGCTGGAATGAGTCGGCAAAACATCCTCAGCTGTGCGTGTTTGTGGGAGTACAGTTACAGAGGACAAGAATACTCCATTAAATCACACACACATCCCACAAAATCAAAGCTGTGCCTAATTTTAGCAGGCATTTTCAAGGTATGATGCATGTATACACAAAGGGTTATGTGGGTAAATCCAGCAGAGCTCTTGACTTTATAAAGGCCGTTTATGCCCAGAGGTTTCTGTCTGGGGACTGATTTTTTGGAGGCACAACATCATTAGGGTTGCCAGATCGGAGCTCAGAATTAACAACAGCTGCCGTGTCTGCTATAAGCCAAACAAAAAGTGCGTCCCAAATCATAGTTTGCTGAAAACAGGATGTGATGAAATACTATTTCTGATGGATCTGTTCATGTTTTGAACATTATTTCTTAAAAAAGCAGAGCATGGCGCTAACAGCACCAAGTTTATGGGGTTTGATTTTGTTAAGAGAATGTATGTAATGATTTAAAAGGAAATATGTAAGTTGAATAAGTGTCTGCCACATGTAAATGCATTTTCAGCTAATATTGCCCAATTCCTTCCTGTTTTCAAAAGTTTTTTTTAATGTTTTTGAAAGAGGTCTCTTCTGCTCACCAAGGCTGCATTTATTTGATAAATATTGTAAAAAATATGAAATATTATTACTATTTAAAGTAACTGATTTCTATTTGAATATATTTTAAAATGTAATTTATTCCTGTGATCAAAGCTGAATTTTCAGCATCATTACTCCAGTTTTCAGTGTCACATGATCCTTCAGAAATCATTCTAATATGCTGATTTGCTGCTCAAGAAACATTTCTGATTATTATCAATGTTGAAAACAGTTGTGCTGCTTATTATTTTTCGTGGCAGCTGTGATATTTTTTTTTAAGGATTTTTTTGATGAATAGAAATGCTCAAAAGAACATTTATTAGATTTTTTTGAACATTATAAATGTCTTTACTGTAACTTTTGATCAATTTAATGCATTCATGCTGAATAAAGGTATCCATTTCTTTAAAATAAAATACACAATTCCAGTGTATACGCATGTGAATTAAGAAACAAACCCATGACTATATGACTATGCAACCTTTTTGGACGATTGTGCATTAACAGAATGAAAGCTAAAAATAAATCATTTTCCAAAATGTCAAAGCACCATGAAAGAAGTCCTCTGAAAAAGCTCTGTGTGAGGAACAGACCAAAATGTAAGCTGTAACTGCCTTGTTGAGTTAAAATATTCCTTTAAATCATGGAAATTCTATACAAGAGAGGAATGAGTAGCGGACACAAGCATTAGGAGACCAATAAAAATGGGAGGTGACAGAGAGAGAAGGGACACAACACAAGTGAAAAGATGAAGAAAGAAAGAGATATGAGGCGTCCAGACAGATAATTCATCATTTCCTACCCTCAATCAATCATTCCGGCATTTAGACGACCACAGAAACCTAACAACCGTCAGTGTAGACCGTAGTCTGGAATCAGTGACTCGAGAACCGCTCCAGCTAACATCTATACTTAGACTCAGAAAGGCTGGGAATTTTCCATTTGGGATTTAGGAGCTGGAGTGAAAATGCAGAAAAGGCCCCTGCAATTGTTTATTGAGAGACCTTGTAAAAATTCCACGTTGAGCTGAAATGACTCCCAAGTTAGTAGAGCACCTCTGTTTCCAAACATCCTCAGCTGGAGTATACGGCACGGCCAAAAAGTAGATGCTTTAAAAGATGTTGTTTTGCTAATTTAGGTAAACTAGTTCAGATAAAGTCATTTGGCTGTATTAACTGATATATATATACCCATTTGTATCCGAAACAGCCCCTGTGCCTATGTGGGGCCCCTTTAAGGGGTTATGAGCCAATTAAAATCTGGTTAGAAGTGTGCAGTTATTTTACTAAAAGAGCAAAAACTTCTCATAAACTCAAGTCATTTCTAGAGGCTAGAATATCACAGACACTTGAAAGTGGACGCTTTTGACTTGGGCTTTTAGTAACAGTGTTATTTCAGTGTTATTTATACACTTGTATATAATTTCTTCATATTTTGAATTACTTTTTATATTTTAAATTTAAATTTTAGTTTGTTTAGCAATTTTGTTACATGCTTTTTCATTTTTATCATTTTTTATAATATTTATGTTTAAATGGATAAGCTTATAAGTTTCCATTTCAATTTTATTTCAGTTTAGTAAATTTGTTTTTGCTTTTGTCATTTTAATTTTTTCACATTTGTTATAGTGGATGTTTTTAAGTTAAAACAATACGCTTTAATGTTAATCTTAGTTTTAGTAATTTGTTTACATGCTTTTGTCTTTTTATTATTATTATTATTTTAAATATTTCAGTTTTGATGAATACATTTTAATTTTAGTTTAAGTACTTTTGTTATTTTTATTTATTTATTTACAATTGTTTTGTTTCGATATGTTTATAAGTTTTCATTTTAATTTTATTTTAGGTTTAGTAATTTTGTTGCATGCTTTTTTATTTAAATTTTTAATTTATGATTTAAATATTTTTGTTTAGCTTTTTTTCCAGTTTTAGAAGTTTTAGTACGTCAACCTAAACTTCAGTTACTTGTCATGGTAACATTTCAAAGTTTTTCATCTAGTCGGAAAAAGATCGGTGGTTCCAGCTTTACTTCTATTAACATTTCTATTACCAGTTTTTATTAGTTTTAGTTAACAATAACAACACTTGCAACCACGTAGCAACCAAACACCATGCAAAAACCACTCAGAAAACCCCATAGAAAATAACCATGACACCCTCTTTACATTAACACCTTATCTCCCAAACACACACTCTCTATGCTAAATATTCACACAAAGATAAAAACTGTCCACATTTACTGACTCTTTTGGTGTTCAAATTACCATATTATTATCTTGATTCCTCATGTCTTTCCATATAAAGAAAGCAAAAGCTGTCAAAAATTGCTTACACTGCATGAAAAAAAATTGCTTGTGCATGAATTTGGCGCTTGACAATGGATCACAAGAGCATCTTAGACATTCTGCTAAACATCTCCTTTTGTGCTTCAATAAAGAAGTCATATGGAGTCATAAGAGAAAGTAAATGACAGAACTTCATTTTCTGGGTGACCTATTCCTTTGAAAAACGCACACTAAAGACGTCCCTTGAGTTCACGGGTCTCAGTTGAGAGTCTATTAACAATTAACAAACACCAACCTTCGTACACAC